AGCTGACTAGGGCGCAGCCCGAGTCAACTATCACGCATAGAAATCGAGAGCAAATAATCTAATTGTTTTAGTATAAATCTACTAGTCGTGCAAAACTTCATCTAAATCCTCTTCACAGACACTTCGAAAATGCCAAGAAGCGGCCGTCATTTTATTAACAAGCGCACACTGCTACGCTACTCACTATCTTTCACAGAATAGATAGTGAGTAGTGTAGCCAATCAGAGAACAGCATTTATGATAGAACACTAGTAGATTTATACTAAAAGCTTGTATAGATCAATGGGTAAAACTTGTGAAATGTAGTGTGTTTTGGGAATATAATGGCTTCATTAAAAAAACCATCCTATTCCAAGGAATGTACATTGCATTGTATATAATTAACTTTTTGCAATTTATTGTCAAGAAACTTCCTCAAGGAAAGCATCTATTCAGTGTATGTAAATTAAAGAAAGAAGAAAAGGAATGTCATGGTTTTCAAAATGCTTAAATTTTCCAAAAGATAGATTTTTAAGAATGTGATCTGTAACAGAAGGCATTTTAGGTCTCTTTAACTCACTATATTTGTTCTAAAATAAGTCATTCCAAGATTTCTGCCCTCTGATTCATACGATTACCTATACATATTAGGAGCAATTTCATGCCCTAACTGAATTGTAAACTGTATCACATGGCATGGGGACAATTTTTACACTCTCTCAATCATATGTGATGTACATTACCTTGTGTGATAACTGTTTATACATTCAATATGAAGCAATTCCAACAAACTTCAAGTTACTCTGTTACAGATATTAATTTTGAAAGCAGAAAATATTGTCCTGAAATTGGTGTGTATGTTATTTTACACCAATTTTGTTCCTGTTGATTTGTAGGAACAACGACGCAAACGAAATGAGGTGACAGTTGAGCTACGAAAGGTAACAGTCCCAGATCTGTGGTTTGATGGGAGGTTGGCATTTTGTTCTAGTGGTTTAGTCAGCCATCGCCAATTTATTCACAAGCTGGGTTGAAAGCATTAATTTTGAGAGCACTCCTTGCCATAATCAGGCAAACTACCCACAAAGTTAAGCACCTTCCTGTTTTAGGTTCTACCCAGGTGTATAAATGGGTATGTACTAGCAAATTTAACGCTGAGGGTAACAATGTGATGGGGAAGCATCCCATCCAGGGGGGAGTGAAAAAACTCCTGTGTCGCTTCATGCTACAGAAACTGGGATAAGCTCCGAGGTGATGGGCCACTCCACAGAAACTTGGCTTGTATGCAGCCTTTACCTTTTTACCTGTTTTAGCCTCACTGACCCAAAAGTCACAAATCATAAATTTCTGATCTTTGGGTTGTAACCATGGATGCCCTCAATTTTCCAATTCTTGTGTCAATTGTTCTTGAGAACTGCGGACTGTGATAAAAAGTTTATCCATCTTCTCTCTGGATACTTAAGAAACTCTGAGAGATACTTCCACATTTTGGTATCATATAATTAAAGATCACCTCAATTTTTTTTACGTCAGCCTACTTGAGTGAACAACATTGTTGCAAACTTATGGTAAATATTTTATTGATTGGTCCACAGTAGTGGCCTATATGAGTGAGTAATTTGTCAGCAACTTTTTTCAAACATATGGCAATCAGCTGGCGACAGTTGATAATTATGTGAATGTGCAATGAAAATATCATTAACAAGATCCACTAGTAGAAAAATATTTCTTAATATTTAAATATATTGTTAACTCTCTAGGGATTTTTGTATAGTAATCTTAAATCAGATCATAATAATTGGTGTCTTTCATTCAGGGCAAAAGAGATGACCAGATTCTTAAAAGACGCAACATCACTGAGGATGAATCTGTCAGTCCATTGCGAGAAATCAATTTACAGCAGCAGGTATTTTGCATGTTAAACTGGTAATGAGGATTACAACTGTAACAACAAAAACCTAAGAGGGGTTTCATGTGTCCCTGCCCTGATGGTTTATGGATATTCATGACAATTTCTGTTTATTATCTCAACAGACTGTAACTCATCTGCCACTTCCAACTATTGAAGAGGTGTGGTCAGTGATTCATTGTTAGGGCTTTAAAAAGTACCGGCTCTTACCTAAAGAAAAACAGTAAATAAATTAAAGAAAATTTGGTTTATTAGGTTGTGTAACGTCAGAATGAATTCAATTCATTTTTACATGATTATAAGTGAAACAGACTAATAAACCTAATTAAACCTAGATTACATGTAGAACAAATAAACCTGAAAAGAACATGTCATATTGCACTGTGACTACGCCAACAAAGGCTGCCATAGCTATGGAAATTGGATCATGTGTCTTAAAGGTATCTGCAGTTGAGTCTTGATCGATACCCTCAGTCGATACCCTTGATGGATACTCGATCAACAGTCTGTCAAGAGTTGACTAATTTTCGATTGATTCATATCAGTCAGTCAACATTTGGCCGACTATTGACTTGATACAGTTTCAATACAGTTTTTTCGGGACCATACAAAGCATTTTCAAGCTTTTTAAGGTTACCGTATACCTTCAGGGGTTTCTCACATCCAAGTGATGTAGTGTGTCCTGTTAAAGCTGTAGATACCTAAACCCCATATCAGAGCTGGCTATCAGACTATACAGAGAATTTTGAAATAAAATGAATTGTCGATTTTTTCCCGACCACTTAATGCAAGCATCCTAATCACCTTTTGGAAGCTACAAGTCAAAGCGAATTTTTGTTTTTTGCCAATTTACTTTTTTCCTTGGTTTTGGGACAAAATAGGCTAAAAAAGAGTGTCTCTGTTTTGCCACACTCAATTGCAGTAAAAAGTTACAGAACATTTTCAAAATAGGATTTAAAAAATGTGAAGTGATCATACAAAAATCGCTCTCGGAGAAAAAATATTTCGAAATAAACAATTCGCAGACATGCTTTTGTTTTTTATATGTTAGCAGGGTTCCAGATACTTTTTCAAGATAGGGTATCTATAGGGAATTCCAAAGGGTCAATTCCCACTGCTCTCACCAAATCATTATTAATTTTCTATCAATGTGTCGGGTTTTTGACTTGAGACCCCTCGCTTATCTGGAACACTGTGTTAGTCTAGCTACTGTCCAAATTTGAGGGCAATCAAACAAATTCCCTGTGAGTTGTAACTCTGTAGTGTCTACTTCAAGCGAAAAAATTTATTCAAGAAAACAGCGCAAAGAAAAATGTCTTGCTTCGCAAACAAACGTACTCCCCCCTCAAATGCCTTCAACTGGCTTCTCAGATCACTGAGCCAATCAGCGCTTGGAGTAACCTTGCGGTGAAATTTACGCAGAAATCTCCTAGACCGTTGTGTTTTGCAATGCTCTCAAGGCGGAGAAATAATTTTTTTGTGGCTCGATTTTTCTTGCAGCTGGTCTGGCAAAATGAGGAAGATGAAAAAGGATACCAATGCTAGAGTGGCTGGGCAAACAAAACAAACAAAGAAAGCGCAGTGGAGCAAATGTGCATGGATAATATTCCAATGGATCTCATTGAGTCCGACACGTCATTGGTATCGGACTCAATGTAGATTCACTGTAAACATCGCTGTTATAGCTGTCAAGTTCCCAAATTTTTTAGAGAACCTTTCTCTTCTCTTGACTCGATCTTTTTGCCCACTTGATACAATAGCTATAGCTTCATCTGTGCGGCCAACTTTCGCTTCTTCACTCATTCACTGGTCCATGGAGTTTTCTGTGGTCCATGTTTACTTTTAACTTAATAGAATTACACCTACCGTCACTTGCATTTAAGCGTGAACCCATGACGCCGAAACATGCTCTAATTGGGTGTCAAACATGGCATGATTGGTCATCAAACATTTGAAGTTTGGCAGACCATGGCGCGAACTTGGCCCTGACTTATGTGTCAATATGCATATGCCTTTCGCGAAAGTGGTTTTACTTCTGGTATAACCATGAAATATTGGTGGGAGCAAGACTTTCAGAGCCTTTCAGATTGCGAAAGTTCATGTTACAATCTGCTAAACTTCAAATGTTTGATGACCAATCATACCACGCTTGACACCCAATTAGAGCATGTTTCGGTGTCACATGTTCATGCTTAGATGCAAGTGACAGTAATGCAAAAAATGCTTGGATTAACAATGCTGATCAACTGAGTAGCCAGCCAGTCTGTGGTATCCATATAGGTAACATTTCTGCAAGTCGTCTCGGTTGATTTGTTACACGTTACAGGGCTGTCAATCAAGAGGGAACTTTAACTTCCGGCCATAACATAAAACCTTCATTTCTCCGCCAATATTTATTTCTTTTTCAATTTTTTGTTTCAGAAATTAGAGATTACTCTTCGACTAATACTTTGACCCATAAATCCAAATTTGAAGAAAATTGCTGATCTGAGGGTATATGGTAACCTTAATAGTCTAATCCCACGGCTAAACTGATCAATATGAAATTTACATTAAGCAAACTTTTGTGCTCAAAATGTTCACCATCAACAAATATGGGTGAAAATTCAAACCAGGAGTGCCTCTGAGTAGGGACTTAGGGAATGGAACCATAGAATTGGCTGCCGAATTCCCAATACGCAAAGTCCAATGTTTCTGCCATTTCATGTGCTAAACTTTTAGTGCGAAAGTTTGCATTACAGTCTGCTTAACATCAAATGCTTGAGGACCAATCATGCAACGTTAGTGCATAGTACACTCGTGTTGCACAAACCTTTAGAGCATGTTTTAGCATCACATGCTCATGCTTAGATGCAAGCGACGGTAATAGACGATTTGCATGATGGCATCATTTGACTACAACTACCAGAATCCTTTACTTTATCTGTTTCTGATGTTAATTAGGGCAATTGTTATTTAAACCCCACTGGGAATTCAAAATTTAAATAATAAAGAAAACATGAAAGGAATTCTGGTAGTTGTAGTCAAATGAAGACAACGTGCAAATCTGCTATTCAGCTAATTTGCCGATTGTGAATTCTTGCAGTATCTCAAGTCAAATGATGACAAGGTGATATTTGAAGCTGTTCAAGTTTCCAGGTGAAATTATCCTTGTACATATTATTATTATAATAATAATAATAGTTTTTATTGTAAGTTATTATTATAAGGTTTATTATTCCTAGTTTTTATTAATTTGTTTTTTTACAGCTTAGTTATTTTATCAGTTATTTAATTTTACCCATGTTTTAAAATAATTGTAAAGCACTATTGGATAGCAATATAAATTAAATGGACTATAGTGCTATATAAATAAAGTGTTATATTATTATCACAATCATATCTATAACAAAATTCTTGATCATGATTGGTTCTCCACACACCTATTTTTCAGGGAATTGGCGCACAATCACATGGGTGTCCAATTTGAACTTTTTGTAATTGGATACCTGTAATTGGATACCCACATGATTTTCCCGTCAATTATGTGCACTTTCATGGCTTCCTTCGTAATGTTTCCTTCAGTTTTCAAAACTTATGAAAAGCGGTACAGACATTTTCACTCAAAAGAACTCCCCAAAAGATATTTTTAACTCCGAAATTTGTTATAGATACAATTAATTAGTAATTGGACTTTGTGTCATACAATTCAGGGAGTAATCATGCTCGTATTTTCAAATTGGCCTCACGCTTCGCGCTAATCCGATTTTGAAATTACTCGGGCAATTACTCCCTGAATTTTACTCCACTCAGTCCAATTACTATTGCTTATTATTATTATTAGTAGTAGTAGTATTAGTATCATTATTATTATTTATTATTATTATCATTATTGTTATTATTTATGAAATATTGCATTTGATTTTTGGGTGTGTAAAGGTAAAATTTTAAAGGTTGTCTACTGTACTTCATAATTTATGGTTTATTTAACCTCTACTCAGACAAGATATTTATGATATTTAGGAAGATGCTTTCAAAGCAGAGAAATCCTCCAATTAAAGACTTTATCAAGTAAGTTTTCATTCAAATAAAATCACGTTTACACATTTGTTTGGTATGATTGGTTCTGAGGGACTACTCAACATAAAAAATGTGAAAATCCTTGTTCATTAATTAACTCAATGGTGCCTTTGTCACCCAGAACTGCCCGTGACGAGCATTGATCCTTGATAGTGCTTCAGGGCTGACATTAAGGGCTGTAACCCGAAACAGCTGTTACAGCTGAGTATGCTTGATTTTCCCTTGATGTTACGGGTGAAATTGCCTGTTGTTGATAGAATTCAACCACTAAGTAACAAGTTTGCTATGGGTGTGGAGAACAAGGCTACAGGTGACTTGAAACTTAATGACAGCCCTGTACATGGTGACATTTCAGTTGAAACTTGAATAGTTCAGGCTGAAGTTTTCAAGTTTTTATTGACAAATTCAAAATGGCATCAAGAAGTGGAGCCAGCCGTGATGTGTGAGCAAGGGGAGGGGAAACTGCAATTAATAGCCATGGTCTAGGTACAATACCTATTAATACTAGGTAAAAATCACATCAAATTATCCTTTCCTGGACAGACTGTCTGGTATGTATAAAGCCTTTTCTTTTTGTCCAACTGAGGATTTCCAGGCCTTTATCAGTACCACCATGCAACACAGCCATAATATGTTGCCAGTGAAGCCCCAGATCTAATGGTGAAGGCAATGAACATGTATTCTCTATGCCTAGACAGCAGGCAAAATACTGTTACACACAGGTCTATGTTAGCAATCCTCCTATTGGTCTGCCATGACTTAAATGTACATGAAAGTGGGAGGAACCTGTTAGCAGTTCTGTACTAGATCTCCTTGATTGGAATCAGCTCCCCAACATACTCTGCAGGGCGGACAACACAGCTTTCTTAAGACATTCAGCAAGGGGTTACTTGGTGGGTACAAGGCAGTGTTCTGTATGAGGGGCTGGTAGTTAACACCCCATTTACAGTCTGACCTGATGCGGTGAAACATTGTGCACTAAAGTACACGGTTTCCATTGACCATGAAGTGGGTCTCACTAGTAAAGATCAAACTCTAGAACTGTTGCCTCTCTTTGGTTGTGCTGGTTGGATACACAAAAGATGTCTGAATAAGAAACTCTGTACTTGTATACCAAGCTTTTAGAGATGCATCAAGAGGATGTGTCCAGACACTCCTAACCATGATGGTACTTTTTGGTGCTAATCAAGATTTGCTGTGAAGTACCTAGTAGTTACTATTCTCTCAATGATATGCTGCTGCTGCCACTACAGTAACTGTATTTATGCTCTGGGGTTTAGAGGGTAGGCACTTATTGTGAAGCTTGAGTTCCTCTCGGCCTTATCTTCGGCAACTAGATAGCTATAAGAAGATACAGTTGGACCCAGCTAATTCAAACTCGATTATTTCGAATTCCTCGTTATTTCTACCCAAAACTGTTTCCCTTAGATTTTCTCTTCGGTGGCTTACTGGTGGCTATTGCGAACTCTTGCTATTTCAAACTATATTTCACTTCCCCTGACAGTTTGAAAGAGTGAGGTTCAAGTAGTTACAATTTTATCTATTGTTATTGATATTCTTTTTTTCTCAGCTCAGGATTGGTACCAAAGTTTGTTGCCATCTTAGAGCGATTTGACAAGTAAGTTTTGGTTATAATATCGACAATAACCTTTTGACTGACTCCCAGTAAATGAATGTCTCTCTTTATTCAATCATTCTGTTTCAATATCCAAGTTGCCAGCCTAACATTTTAAACTCACCCGATGATGTTTCTACAGAGATCTATCTATTTCCTCTGATTGGCTTCTGTTCAGTTATAAATGTTTACAATTATTATTAATACTGCGCATCAGATTGAGACTCCACACAGATCAGGTCCTAAAACTTAATGTAGAGAGAGACATTCACAATAGCCAGGTTCAAACCTGATGTTGTGCAAATGATTCACACTAGCATAATCTTTCATCTCTCTCTAGTCCTTCGTTGCAGTTTGAAGCCGCTTGGGTGTTGACAAATATTGCGTCTGGCTCGTCTGATGAGACAAGAGTTGTTGTGGAAGCAGGTGATCTGGTGTATAGTTTTAATATAATGAGAAACTAATTAATAACTCCTTACTAATGTAGCGCAAGGTCCATTCTGGGGAATATTGTCCTGGGGTTTTGGCAGTACAAAAATGACCAAGGGGCAATATTCCCCAGTACAGCTTGAGCTAGCTAGGTTAGTAAGTAGTTTATTATATGGCACTTGGGCCATGCTTGTTTTGAATTTGCCGGATTTCGAAAACAAAAAATACACAGCTTATGACCGTTTCCATGGAAATGGTCCGTATGGCAAAATCGCGACCAAGAAAGAACCAATCAGAACGCTCGGATTTACCTGAAGACTACCTTTCCATATATTATACAGATATATTTATTGTGATTGTGTGTAGCTAGCTTAGTTCACAACTAAGTTTACCAAATTACCAATTTTCTAGCAAATTTTGCAATATTTTGCAATGAGGTGCGTAATGTGAAAGTGACTAATCACACTTGATAGGTGTTTTTTTTTTTGCAATGCTTGATGGAATCAAATTCAGGAAGAGCCTGACATATTTCACTTTACTCTGAGTTTTTCTTGGTTTGATCTTTCAACCTTTTTTAATTCAAGGTGCTGTACCTAGATTTGTTAAGTTGCTGTCATCGTCACAAGCTCAAGTTTGTGAACAAGCTGTGTGGGCACTTGGAAACATAGCAGGTAGTTTAAATTAACTTTTAATGTTTCACATGGCTTTGACCACTTTCTAATCTTGAAGACATTGCCGTCAGAGAATGCCATATGAAATTGGAGTGACACAGTCATGTCAACAAGAGTTACAAAATAATGTGTGATTTGTTTGAATGGCTGCCAGATGGTACTTAGAATTTTCCTGATATACGTTCCCATTACTTTCTGATTAATGCAAGTACTAAATAATGTGTTTGGTTGGTATGATTCTTGTGTAACACTTCATGTCCTCCTCTCACAACTGCTGTCTAAATAGGAGCAAAAAGTTGGATGACGTCTTAAACAATCATATTAAATCTCGATTAGCGAAACAGAGATTCCAGTAAATATCCATACCATACCAGGTGCGGCATCTTGGAATTCCGAGGAAGAGGAAGGGTTTCTTGGACTGGAATTTTGAAGGCATTGGGGTTAACGCAGTTTGGAATTCCAAATGCATGGGGTGGGGGGTTTCATCCCTGAATTTCAAGAGGGGGAAGCTTTGCTTGAAATCGCTGATCTGATAACTTTTCCAGTTTGTAAATCATCAAGCACGAATCGACTGTGGAGGAAGGATAAAGATAGATCAGGCAGGTGTTAGTGATTATGCGGAAAAGTGAGAGAATGAGTTGTGTAGCGAGCTCCACATCGAAGAGGCCTTACAGTTGATGAATTAGTTGATAGTTTAATAAACTATACGACAAGTCTGTGTTTCTTTCCAATCTGAAATTGGCGATTGACGATCTTGTTGCATGAGAAAAACTTGCAACAGTCTCTCATTTCCACATGGAATGCGTGACAGATTTGTAGGCTACATTACTAGTGGTCAACAGCTACCCAATGGATGCAATTTTCAATATGGCGGGTTATGGCACATCATGAACTTTACTTTTGTCTTCCACTGGTATCAATATGATCTACTCTCTTGAAAATATGAAGCTAATCAACTGAAAACAAAAAGTTTTATTTGGTGGTAAGCAACTTATAGAAAACACTTAGGAGGGAAAGCCGTGGTGTACTTTATTAAACGTTGACAAACTAGAGTTGCTTGTTTGCTTGACCGAAAATTGTGAGCAGAATTTTCTTGGAGGGGGAAAAAGAGCAAGTTTCCCATTTGGTGGAAGTTTTAGGTAGTCAGACAGGAATTCCAGAGGGTATGAAAAAAAATCAGAAATTCCGGAGGGGAGGAGGGATTAACGATTTTGGAATTTGGAGGGCATGGGGGTAACAATATTGTGAGATAGTGGCCTGGTTACCCAGCACTGACGTGAGATAGTGAACACAGTTGTATGTAGGGTTAACGATTTTGGAATTTTGAGGGCATGGGGGGTGTAACGATATTGTGAGATAGTGGCCTGGTTACCAGCAGTGACATGAGATAGTGAACACAGTTGCTGTATGTAGGACTTTTCAGAACTACGGAATTACAGAGCCTTCTCACAAAGCTGTTCTTGTGTTGTTTTATGCCTCAAGATCCTTACATGGTGTCAGAACAGTGGTTACCTTTGATTTACACACAGACACAAACCTTGGCAATTTTGAGTTCATCACCCTTTTTTCCAACGTGAACATGTTCTATACAACACTTTTGGTTTTGGAGAAATTCAAGTTGTTCTGCAACGGGAGGAAGAACACCATTTATGAATGCTATGTTTTTTCTCAAGAAATCAAGAAAGTGGAGAGTCTATTGACCACCATCATAATGTGACTATTTTAAAAAATTTAGCGGACACTTCTGAATTTGGAGCACTCAAAGAATCTCTTATCTGCGATCGGATCGTCTCTGGAATACAGGATTCCTCAGTAAGAGAAAGGCTCCTGAGAGATGCAAAGCTAACCTTGGAAACTGTTACTGTGAAGGTCAGGTCAGCCGAACTCACTCAGGTCCAGCTGAAGCAAATAAATGCAGACAAGACAACCGAGGAATCAGTCAGTGTGATTATTACAGAGAAACCTCCTAAAAAGACGCCTAGTAAATTCCCTGTAATGACAGATTGCAAATTCTGTGGCAGAAGACATCCAAGGAGCAAGAACTTTTGCCCAGCGTATGGTTCAAAGTGCCAGAAGTGTGGTTTGGCAAACCATTTTGCATCCAAGTGCAGAACAAAAAGAAACAAGACCAAGTAAAACAGGCAAACAACTCCACCTGGTAGAAACAGAAGATGATACTGAAGACAAATTCTTTATTGACATGGTTACTCACAAAGTTAGATCACTGACCACCAAGGATGATGATGAAGTTGCTAGTCAATCGTTTGTGACGATGATGGTAAACGACAATGCTAATGTCAAGTTTCAGCTCAACTGTGGAGCAACTTCCAACCTTCTACCACTGAAGGACTTTGCAGGAGTTATGGGAGACCCTGATGACCTCTATATTGAGAAAAGCAACGCCAAGTTAACCATGTACAATGGAGCAGTTATGTACACTATGGGTTACATCCTTGCAAACTCAAGTGCACACAGGATGATTCTNGGGTAGAGCATTTTGGGATTTCCAAAGGGAAGGGGAGATTAAAATGTTCATGCCGCCCATGGTAGGGTGTAGATATTTTCTGGAATCACCCATTTTGTATTGAAAATTTGGATGCAACATTCAGAATTCTAAGCGATGCTGCCGCTTCTCTTGTCTCGCAGGATACTTTGGGCCTTGTGCACTGGACAGCTTCTCCATGTCTTTTTGGGTCTGCCTTCCTTGCATTTCTCTTTTGGTATCCATGTCAGTACAACTCAACGGTTGCCTATGCACAGCACATGCCCTATTAACTTACAACTCTGTCACCTATAATGCCCTCAATACACAATGGAATTGATTTGTGCCTGGGAGTATCAGAGGACACAAACAAAATCCTAATTAGAAATATCACCTTGTAGGAAAACCCCCTGTACTATAGGAGTTTTCAAGAATATTCACTTGTACCATGAAAAATGTGCTTCTTTTGTAAGGGACTTTATTTCACCAATCACATTGTTATTTATTGCCTGAGTGTGCTGTTGATAATTCTTTGTTTTAGGTGATGGACCAAATCTTAGAAACTTTGTGTTAGCCCATGGTGCCTTGGGACCTTTACTAGGAATAATTCAGCCAGGCATCAATGTAAGAAAACAGTATTATTGTCAACACCTTGAATGTAGTTAAATGCAATTTAAGGGAGAATGCCTGCGTTCCTGTAGTGGTCAGTGGTGTTTTGATATGCGCATGCACCAGGACTCCGTGTGCTCCCAGGCTAAGACATGTGTTTGCAGCCTTCACAGCCATAGCATTTACAGTGAGTGTTGTCTTGCATGGGAGCACGTCTTTAAGCATTCCCCCTCCCTTCCCTCCCTCTTTCCACTGATAATTCAGTGTGACAGGTGCCTGTCTCCCCCTACCGCATGGGGGCTCATGGCTTGGTTTGCCATGATTTGCCAGCCATGGGAGCAGTCTTTATCTAGGAGCTGGCTGCCAATAGTTAAAGCTCCTGGATGTCTCAGGCACCCAACCTCCATTTAGCAATGCAGTTGTTAATCTTGATTAACATGCCACCTTCAATCATTGAAATCAGAACCCTCAATTAGCAGCATGGTACACAACAATTGTTACAGCGACCATAATTGTTGGCGACAAGAAAGAATAGATGTGGGAAATGTCTATTTGGAGCCAATCAGCCAGGGATAGTCGTTGACTGTGTTGTCATTAGTCTGAAATAATATTATTACGGTCCGTGATTGGACAAATCTGGGACACATTAGCAAAAGACAAATGAATGCTTTCTACACGATGTACTTTACAGTGATTTCAATAAGGGCCAGGCACTGGGCAAAGTAGGGGTATTGAATGGTCTTTGCGAGCATGCAAGCAGTGTGTTTATTTTTGCGAGTACAAGCGGTTGTTAAATTTTTCTTGCGAGCAGCAAGCACTTTAGAAAATGCTGATGGCAAGCAGCGAGTACTTCAAGTACTTCGTAAATTTTCTGCTAGCCAGAGCCTCTCTTTTACGTTGTTTTGCACCAAGCACTAGCTAATAATCTGGTTGACACCTCCAAATCGGAACAATAAGTGCAAAGCTAGGGTGGTTCAACCAATCTCAGCAGTGTCACATAGTTTCACGTGAGTCAGTCAAGCATTTTGGGCTTTGGTTTTGATGATCAGCAAACTGGTTTCCCGCTGATTGACTGAAAAAAAATTCAATGCAATGCAGCTTTATTTATTTGTAGGCTTCTAGAATCTGACCAATTACAGCCGTACAGATCTGGCAAGCTCTTGTACGAGTTCTGAAGGTCAAATAGTACTGGTAATAGTAGTATTTAAGTTGAATGGGACCATTCGATACCTCTCAAATCGACTGGCTTTTTTGCCTGCCAGGTTTGACTATCTAGGGGAAAGTTTTTCCAACAAGTTCAGTTCAAAATGTTTTGTCCACCTGTGAAAACCAGTTCCCCTCCTGCTGAAAATATTTATGAAACCACTGACTTAATTATTAATTTTTCACTAAGTAAAGGTGTATAATAATAAATAATATAATATCCTGATTGATTGAGTCTAACACCTGTAGTGTCATGTTTAGAATTTCTAAGAAACATGAGGCAGAGCAGATTCCAAATCCTCCCAGTTTTAATATTGTAACACACTGTATATTTATTTGTTTGTTATTTTTTTAACACAGGAAAACTAGACTTACACAGTCACTGTAGTCAGGGTTTATTTATTATACACCCACTGGAATTTCTTGAATGTTCTAGGCTGTCTCCTCTTCCTGGAAGATCTTGAGAAGGAAGAGGACTTGTAATTTTCCTGCTTTAAAACTATTTAAAGGAGCTCAGTCGTGGTTTGCACATTTTGAAAAGTTTAGCCTAAATTTTTCAAATTCGTCGTTTGCAATCCATGTCAATGTTCGCCATCCTTGACGATCCTTGTTCCTTTATGGTGTATTATTACCGGTATCTCTTTGATGTTTTTCTGTCTTGGTAAACTATTCCTTCCATTTAAAGGAGATTATGTACGTGGCCAAAAACAAGACAAAACACCCTGACTGAGCTCCTTTAAAATATAAAAGACCACTTTTAATTTTTTTCCCCCTAATAGTGACCTCTGTGGGTACTTAGTACTCAATAATACTAATTAGTCTTACATGAAAAAAAACTTTAAAATACTCCTTGAAAGTCCTGTGTTTTATGCTATGGACATGTGGAAGTCTGAGTTATACTGTAGCTGAAGGCTCAGATAGTGACATGCTGCAAATCTTGTAGTTTCATCACAAAAAGAAGGGCATTGCAATAGGCAGTGAGATCCAGGATTCCTGGCAATGTATATAAATATTTACCCATCATAAACTCTTTCTCGTGGTGTTTTGTGTTGCAGATTCAATTTCTTCGTAATGTAACATGGACACTGTCAAACTTGTGCCGAAATAAAAACCCAGCTCCTGAGAAGGCAGCAGTAGAGCAGGTGTGTCCAACAATATTTATGCTCACTTGTTTAAATTACAGCAATTATAATGCCGTGTGCAGTGTGCAAGGAAGTGGTGTTTGATAGTACCAGAGCTTGTGGATTTTGCTATCGAGCTAGTGGAATCTGTCCTTCACTTTAGGCAATAGGCCCTTTGCAGCTGGTATATTATGGGCTATAACTTGAAGAATGTCAGAAATGGAAAGAGCGCATCGAAAATACCAAAATGGCCAAGTTTGAGGTTCCTGGCATTAAAGAGTAAGTTTATATGACCATTTGAGTTTTCGGAAAATTTGCATGGATTTGTATGGAAAGTGTTGCTGGAGAGCAAGACCTTGCAAATGTTAAATGTTACCCTCACCAATAAAGTCTACTACTACGACGNGCTCAGAGGAAGTGCTGACATTGATTTCATACTATTGTACTGCTTACCTGAAAATAATTATTACCCCCACAGGGTTTTGGCCCAGATGGCCAAAACCCGAGGAGGCACCCTAGAGGTCCCTGCATAAAGGGAGGAAAATTTCGCTGTAGCAGAAAAAATCTCAATTTTTTGAGAACACGACTCTCAAAGGATTGCCCAAAAGTACGCAAAGGATTGCCGAAAGTTTTCTGGGGGTCGAATAAACACACCGCAATCAAGTAAACTCTCTTCAAGATGGCGGAGATTCTGATATAGAACAAATTGAAAACGATTTCAAAGATCCTGTAGTTGGATTTTGGGATAAAAACAACTCAGAAGGTATTGTTAGTTATTCTGAAGTACCGGTAAATCTCGATATTTGAGGCAAGTGTTGCTTCACTCGTGTTCAATTGTGACTAAAATACTTCCGATCGCCAGTTCTACCTTTGGCATGTCGTTTATTCAGATTGCTCATTTGTGTTGAGTAACCTTTCATGGTGCAGAGCTCAAATTGTCACGGCTGAGTGACTTGGCAGGAATCCAAAGGTGAATGTAAACGTTTTGCAGCGTTTTCGATGAGGACAAAAAATTTGACTCTAATTTGCATATATAGATTAGAGGTGACAGTAATGCGATACTTCCATTAATAACCTGAGTATCAGGCCTTAGCAAGAGGGTAGGGGAAGGAGGGGAATTGCAGAGAAAGGCCTTTTCTTTGCCGGGTGCTTCCTCCTCCTACTTGTCCCAGGAAAAAATCGTGACAGCAACTTCCAGATGATTTCTCAACTGCTGTCCTACTTTCGAGATACGTTTGCTCTTATAACAAGAAAAATGGTTTGTTTCATCATCAAATTCAAACAGCAGAGTGGTTTGACATAATGTTTTGTTTCTCTAGAATTTTTAACCATTTTTTCTTAAGTTCTACTGAGTAAAATTTTTGTAACAGAAATATTAGTTCCCATGAAGGAAACTTTTTTTCAGAAAGTACTTTTTGTGATCTTTCAAACAAAAACTCACGGCTGTCTGGAATGGAATGAAAAATAGAAAGTGTTGCTTTAGTTTACTTAGTTGAATGTTTCGATAATAACCATGATAAGATGCCTAAGTTACAGGAACATTATGAGTGATAAAGTTTGCAAAAAAAAGATATAGAAGTTTTAGCTCATGCAATAAGGTTCAATTGTCTTCAATCTGTAGAAATAAAAGAAAGTGGGGGTGGCGTTTGTGATAACCATTACTAGTTAATAATTATTCTTGCCTTGAATGTTCACACATAACATCTGCTCAATAAACAAAAGTGCTAACTGCTGTGCAGTTTCTGTAAGCACTGTTATCATAGTTATAAATTCTTGAAACCTCTTTCTCCAGAATTCTGAGCCTAATTCATGTGTGGCTTATGATTAATTTTGTACATATACAATATTGTTTTCTAAAAGGAGACTGATTACTTTTCATGCTGCAGCTTGTTATTGACTCGGGAATTCTACCTTTGTTGGTCAATTTATTAGGCCACCATGAAGTTAATGTTGTGGTAAGTGTGTTTAGATGCATTCACATACAAACTCCTCCTTTGTAACCACCTCTTGTAAATGACCTACCAAAGTTTTCTGTCGGATTGAGTCAGTTCCATTTTAGATCAGTATTTGCCTGCACAAGTTTCTGTGACCAAATCTAGAAGAGAAAATTCAAAATTTTCTTTAGTTTTAAACCTGATAAGCAGCATTTCACCTGATCCACCCTCTGATATGAAGATTTTAGTGCCAAGTTCTTAAATTTGAACATTTTGTTTTTACATTTCACATTTTTCACTCCCAGTGTGCAGAACTCACTTATTGGTTTATGATCTAATACTGCTAATATTGCAAATGGAAATTGGGCTAGATGCAGGAATCTCTTTGAATTAAATGATAAAGTGCTGCTGGGTTTACTGATGCATTTATACATGATTAAGCCCCTGCAATGACTGCCAGCTATAACTCAAAACTTAATTAAGGTGTGTTTCTTTGGATTGATCAAGATCAGTGATCCAAGATTACTTGGATCATGGTGCATCGAAGGAACCAAGAATCTTCTTGGGGCATTAGGATTCATGGGTTCGTTTGATGCACTGTTGTGATTGAGTGATCTTGGATCATTGGTTCTGCTGCAGATCGTCCCACAGAAACTCACCCTTTCATTGTCTAGTTTCTTTGACTGCATGGTGAACTTTATGATGCTGGGATAATTGACAACTACTAATTGTTGACTGTGTTGTTCTTTACAGACACCCTCTCTACGAGCAGTTGGTAATGTTGTTACAGGCACAGATGAACAGACTCAGGCAAGCTCGGACGTATATTTCATGCTAGCCTGCGTAGCAAGCATTCCGCTACAAATTAGAGCTTTTCCGCATTCTAGGCCGCATATAAATTGAAACAAGAGCAAAAATTCGACAAAGAAGGGGATGGTCGGATGAAAGAGGGAATGCTTGCCCACAAACCCCTCCATTTTTAAAAGTGCCCATTGGTTTTCGTGGTTGAGTTCATTTATTGATTGACAACTTTGTCACTGACCTAAAATCATAATAGTGCTACTTGTATCTACATACTGCACTAGTTTGGAGGGCATTAAGTCAAATGTTCGGCTTAAGACCAGCTTTTCCTGACAGTGGTTTAACTCTAACCGTTCATTAGCTTGATGATCATTTTATTCTCTTGCTGCTAAAAAGATATTTCACCTTTGAATTATAGAGCCGCCCGAAAATTTGACGCCTTTGTTTGAAAATTGTCAGTGCGAGGAAATCCCGGTGGGTAAATTCGCTTTTGCCTGGAAAACAACAACCAGTCGCCAGGTTCTAGAATTTGGTCTCATCTTATCCAGACACAAAAAACGACACAGAAAAGCTAAGCAAGGTTGCCAAATGAGACTATCAAAGATTGGTTCTCCTTCCCTGGTTCCTGTTTGATCTTCGCGTACGATCAATAATTACAAAAGCAGCTGAAATTAAAAGCTTTCACTGAATCCAGCAGGTAATAGAGCCATCAAGTATTTACCCTCTAAAAGATGGTGTCTTCTGAGTAACATCAATGTACTATCCACGTCAAGTTTAAACAATCTTCGCTGAGGCAAGCACAATTTCGCAAACCCTCCTCCATGACATTGTGCAAGTCACACTCGAGTTATTCCTGGACTCATTCAAGTGAACTTGATACAGTTGTTCAAGATGACCACGCTGCACCAATCAGGAGCCCCATTCGTGGGCGAACGGGTTTTTGAAAATCGAGGGGTTTGCAGGCAAATGTTTCCTCTCTCACCCCACCTCCCCCTGCTTCGTTGAGTTTTTGCTCTTGCTCCAATTTACGCATGGCCAGAATGCAGGCTGTTCGTATGAGAACGCTTGCTACCCAGGCTAATTTCATGTAGACTACTCAATAATTATTGTTTCCAGCAAAATTTTAACTAGGTATTGCACTTTACGGAAAGATAAGAAATAGGTCAGCCTTATGTACTGTAAAGCTTATTTATGGAACATACAATAAAAGCTATTTTCTCTATAAGAACTTTGTGAAAATTTTTTTTGGTCCATTCAAAACAAGTTCTCATCAAGTTATTTCCAGCGGAGTAAATAAAAGATGAACACTTATGAAAGTATTTCAACTTAGTAAGGTATACTCTTCAGGGGACACCAACAGTTTGGCAACCAAGGGAACCTGGATAGAGGTTGTTGTCATTGCAACCAAATGACAATGTTCCAATTGAAGAAACAACTTAAGATACAAGCCCAGTTCCTGCAGGGGTTCACAATTGAATTTGTATCTGGTTGGTTTTTAAACATGTGAATCCAAACATTGTCTTTATCTATAGAGAGCTCAAGTTCTCAATAGTCGATCACCATTAAATTACTTAACACCACATATTTCAGAGAGTCATGAAGCACTCACAGCTCAGAAATAAATCATTTTTACCTCAGTTTGTATCACTGAGTTTGGGCCACCTGTGGTATGTGTTTAAATTTTCTGAATAAATGTTACATATATTTTTGTATACTGTTACAGCTGGTGATACAACACAATGCATTGTTCCACTTCAAGAACCTGTTGACGCATAGTAAAGCCAGTATTGTCAAGGTCAGGTTTTACTCTACATAATGTTGAAGTATGATTTGAAATGGGAAAACACTTCTGTGCTATATGGGCAGGTTGTATATGTAGTCAAGGAAATGAGCTCAGAATTTCCCAACTGCCGAAGATTGTGTACCTGGCTTCAGATTTAATCCACTTTCTTATTGTGATAATTTCTTTTTCAGTGTTTACGTTAAGCTTTGGGTATTTGATTTTCTTTCTAAACCTCTTACAATCTCTGTCTTAAACAATGTATATTCCACTTCAATCCTTCCTTTATTTATAATTTAATAGGAGGCAACGTGGGCAATATCAAATATTACAGCTGGTCCTAAGGAACAAATTCAGGTAATTATCAACCAAGAAACCTGAAAGCAGGATTCTAATTGACAACTATTCCATGATGAAGAGATGAGGTGACAAATAACAAATGAGATGTTTAGCTCCATGACTGTGTACCGAGTATTATTATGTGACAAATAGGCTTACAGAGAACCAATCACAATCAAGAATTTTGTTATAGATATTATGATGAAGATGATGATGACTGTTATTATGGTGATTTCAGATAATAGTAATTGGTTTTTGTGTTGTTATTTTTCAGGCCATTATTAATGCTGGCTTGGTGCCCTTGATTATAGAGGTTTTAAAGGTTTGTGGTCCGTATAAAAATGTACTAACTTCTAAAAAGGAACAGCTTGCTATTTTTACATTCCTCCTCTTTGTGACTTCAAATTGCCAGAACTAAGGATGTAAGTATTTAGTGTTGTTATAGAGTGATATAACCTATAACAAGTGGTACACCAAAATAATTTTTTTATAAAGTATGAAGATATCATTAGTAAAAGGTAATTATTCTTAAGGTCATTCCCCAGTATGGCATTGTGCATCCCTACTGCACATAATTTCACGCCTGATTAGCGTATGCGCACTAAAAAATAGCGGCTTTTTCTTTACAGCTGAACCTCGCCATTGTGGTAAATCGTCATTTTCTTGAAAATGAGTACGGTGACCTACCATTTTTTCTGTTGTTTTGAATTGAGTAATAAATTTCTCTATGTAAAATAAATATGGACCAATTCTCAGTGTAGAACAAGAAACAATTGTCGGAAACGTGAATTTAGCAAGCAATTGTGAATATAATCATGGGGCTATTAGAAGGATTTATTGGGTATATAAACAACGTGCGGTAGCTCCTAAACGAATTATAAGACCTTTCAGAATATATTAAAACAAGATTGGAAGCTTCTAAGGAGGCTTAAAACCATGCAGTGAAATTTAAGTAAATGTCCTCAAATCAACAAATAAAATCAACACCCAACTCTTAAATTTTTGTTCTACTTCCTGTGGGAAAAGTCAACAAAAACAGGTGTTCAGTATTTGTTTGACTTGTAACAAGACATTCAATCAATTAGCTCTATATTATTTACTCACTGTCAAATTTAAGCAAACATAGTTTACATTATGTTCAGATGTGAGAAAGTTTTGCATCTTACAGAAACTTTGTTGTTTACCGCTCTTGTTGTTTATTTGTATTTTCCATGAAGTTGTAATTCATGTTTTGTCCAGAGATAGCCAAGTACGATGTATAATACATGCCACTGAAAGACAGTGGATGCCATATGGGTGTGCCACAGAGTGTCAAAACAATTTGTGGTTGGTTGTGGTATGGGATTTATTATGAAAACAGAAGTTACCAAGCAAAATATACAAAATATCCTCTAGACATTTTCGAAGTTCAATATTTGACCCAACAATCTAGGGAAATTCATTAATATTTAACATCATTTTCCCTGAGATGTTGTTAGCAAGAGTTTTAAAAATTCCAGCTTTAATTAAAAAATAGATGAACAGATTTTGTATTAAGGCTGAGACCTTAACAAGTTGGGTAGCAGTTAGCTTCTTTGTTGATCTGCAGAGTTGTATCATAGAGTATACTTTCAGTGATCCTTTTGAAATAATCCTAGGGAAGCAATTCAGCTCGAGATTTTAGAAGTCAGAAGGAAGCTGTATGGGCCATCACAAACTTCACATCAGCCAGCACACCAGATCAGGTACATGATAGTGAAATATATCAGAAAAAGAGTTGGTCAGGAATAGTTCCATAATTATTTAATTTTCACCTTTATCTTGAAACACAGTAGAAGCAAAATGTTCCTTGTTTTTATCGGGTCTATAATCTTGGTTGTCATGGTGATAAAAATAACAGCTCACAGAAATAAGTTTATAACAAATGCTGTAGTATTTTGCAGATGTCTTAAATAACCCAGGATGAGAGATGTCACCTGCATTGATACCTCATCAATTTATTTTGACAGTCCATTGTTTAATTTGTTGTGTGCACAAAGAAAAGTAATACAAGTATGGGTAATGAAGAACCATTTGTAGTGTTTTTGTGACTGTAGATTAATACATGCAATAATTTCCACCACTGTTTGGATTTTTCAGATTAACTTCCTTGTTCAGAATGGAGTTATAGAGCCAATGTGCAGTCTCTTGGAAGTCAAGGATACCAAGGTATTTAGCCCTAGCCAAACAGACTCTCAAGCAGTCACAAGTAACCGCAAGTTAAACTTGGGTAGAGACTTACGTTGGGAATCAGGATCATGAACTTCCTCGCAAGTACATGCATGTCAAAAAAATTTCATGACTGCATATCCTATATTTCATTGGCTAATAGGTTGCTATAACAACAAATGGACGTCACTCAGAAACATTGACTTGGGCTGGGTGGCCAAACAGTGTCGACTTGCGAGCAAATTTGACCTTGACTAAAGTGAGCGCATACCCTGGGTGCCAGAGGTTTTTCTTCCGCGGTTTCCAGTGTCAGTGATGTCTCTCTTGTGACCCAGGCGAAAAACCTCTGGTGCAGAGTGCAATTTCTTTGATAGTGCTAAGCCAATGAAAAGCCAGTTTAAATCTGTCTAGTCCAGAATCTGGACTAGAAAGCTGATTGGCTCCTAATGACTTCCAAGGGTTTTCTAATCTAACAGACATGGTGATTGGTTTCTAAGAATAGAGAATGTGAGCCTGTGAAATGTCGCGAATAATGTGCTTGTCGCTTGGTGACGTGATGATCTTGGATGGGGGATTTTGAGGTTGATTTTTGTTTATGCACTGTAAGGTTTGTGAAAGATCAAGATCTGGTCAAAGCCATAACAAAGGTTCATCAAAACGTTTGATGGTGTTGACAGCTTTTAAAGTGCCAAACAAAGGGATTGAATTGTGAATGTATTTGCAGCAAGGATGTTTTGGCGGTTTTGCCAAGGGGATTTGGGAAATCGTTGTTAGTTCAATTAATTCCTTGACTCTGTGTTCAACTACACAATGTTCCCAATGCCGGTGCGCTTTTCGTGGGCTTGAAATGATTCCGGGTCTTTCAAGAAACAGGCCCAGATCTGTCTTGTCAAGTGAATTTGCCATGTCTTCATGTGCCAGGCCATGTGATTACAGTGGGAGATGTTCGCTGTGATTGGTTTGACGCCTGAATGAAATTGCCCAGGACCCACCCCTAATTCTCTGGGGTTTTTTGGAATATTTAAGAGCGAGCAAAAGCACAAAAATAAACCATATGTGTAGTAACCACAAACACAAGACTAGGTTTCAAGACATCGTTTATTTAAAGTTGAATAAATGAAGGGCCAAAATATTAAAGAATATTAACAAAAAGAACTCAACCTGATGTGTAAAACTGATGAGAAAACAAGAAATTATTATTTCTTTATTGCACGACAAAATGTCCCACAGAAGCTGAGAAAATTGACTGTGCAAAAATGAGTTAATTA